GTTAAATCCATACCAGAAATGAAAATATAGGCAGGGCCAGCTGGCGGTGGTTGAGGTGGCTGGACCCCACATGGTTGCCTGTGAGGTTCAAGTCTTGGACTCGGAAGCTTGAAAAACACAGGGGGTCCAGCAGGTGGCATAGTGGTTGAGGTGAGAGACTCCCTCGTGACCGACCTTGGATCAAATCCTCAACCTAATGACTTGGAACTCACGCCGGGCGCATGTAAGTGCAAGATCAAAAGAAGAGAGAGGAGAAGGGATTGCAGCATGGCCATCTCTCCTCAGGGGCGATTTCTCACTTTCTGTCTCTGCCTCTGTCTCTAGTGGATGTACGTGCCCTTCAGCAAAAATCTCTCAAAAACAAAAAGAAAGAAAGAAAGAGAAAAGGAAAGGAGAAAAAAAGAAAGAAAGAGAGAAAGAAAAAAGAAAGAAAGAAAGAAGGAAAGAAAGGGAAAGAAAGAAAGACAGACAGACAGAAAGAAAGAAAGAAGGAAGGAAGGAAGGAATGAGGACAACACATAGGACGCCCCTATGTGCATGCCCAGAATCCCCAAAGGAGGGTGAGAGAGATGGAAGAGAAGGGCTGTCTTGTGATCGTGCTCCTTGTGGGGCTGCTCTCTCTTCTTCACTCTCTCGTCTCTCAGTCTGGTGAGTGCATATGCTCTCTGACAGAATAGAAAAACAAATAAGTAAATATAATGTATACAGAAAACGCCGGTCTTGGGGACCAGCAGTTAGCATAATGGCTATGTCGCTGGACACCCACGTAGTCGACCACAATTCGAGTCCCTGACCTGGTGGCTTAAACTCACACTGGGCACGTGTGCGTGTGTGCCCAAGATCCTGAGAGGAGAATGGAGGAGAAGAGATTGCGGCGTGGCCATCCCCCCTGGGGGGTGATTTCTCCCTTTCTGTCTCTCTGTCTCTCTCTGTCTTTCTGGTGAGCGCACGCGCCCTATAGCAAAACAAACAAACAAACAAACAAAACTCTCCGAAAAAAGAAAAAGAAACCGCCAGTCTCTGGCATTGAGTGGTAAGGAGCCAGGGGGTGTGTGTGGTGTGCACACGCACACGTGCATGTGTGTGCACCCAGGCGTGGAGGAAGGTTGCTTCTGTAGCTCCGAGGTCCATTGGGTGATCTTGGGGTAGAGCTTTGGGTTTGAGAAGGAAAGATCAAGCACATGCCACGCAGGTACCACCGGCGTTGGCGTTCCCGCCAGACACGAAGGAGAAGGGGCCCTAGAGAAGTCTGTGGGTCGCACGGCAGGATGGGAGTGTGTTCTTCTGCGCTCTGTCGGCAGTATCCAGGATGGTTGTAGGAGCTCAGACAATGGAGCGAGGGCCAGAGGGCCTGGTGCGTGTCTGCTCTGAGCTCCAGAAAGAAGGAATGGGACGAAAGCATGTCAGCATCTGCCTGGGGCCTCTCGGTGTCCCCAGCCTCTGGGCAAAGAGTTCCCACCAGGTTCCAGCTCTTGGACGTGGCCCGCTGTTACCATGCCTCCTCTCTCGCTCCCGTTTTCAAATGCACGCAGAGCCTCTGGTTTTCCGTGTATTCCATGCCCTTCCGAAGGCAAGGCTGTGAACACTCGGGAGGTAGGAGTTTAGTCCATACAGCACATGTGATCACGGCTCACCTCAATTAAATACACACCTTAACATTAAACCCGCCTCCGTGTGAGGGATGTATGCTGTGGGGAGAAATTCTTCACGGCTTTATTGTGAACCATTTATAGCCTGATAAGCCTGAATCATGTGGGCCTTGTTTTAATTACCACCTCCTACAACAGAAGAGCTGCCCCGTAGAGAATGATTCTCAAATGCCCAGTCAAGCTATAAATCAACCCTAGAAGCCCTTGCTGTTTTGTGCAACCTTTGCAGAGGAAATAGGCTACCTTCCCTAACTCCCAGATTACACAGAGACACTGGAGTTGGTTTTCATTTTGTTGAACATTTATACTCAGAGCATTTATTTACTGTAACATCCCCTTTTTTCTTTGGGGATAATTTCAAATCTCCTTACGTAGCATATATCTATCCTTGGATCACATTTCAGCCCTTGCAAAATCTTTTTCAGTTTTTTTCTGAGCAGAGAGTGGGGAAAGATTTTGTTTTCAAAATTTATTTATTTACTTTAATCACATCTTTACAATGTACAACATTTCTTTTCCTAGCACAAATACTATGCATGCTAATCAAGCCAAAGATATTACTCTATCACTTCTCAGCAAATGGCCTTTCTTTTTTCGGCACTTAAGCATGTATTTACTTGTTTTTTCCTTCCCCTTTCGCCTCTCTCCCTTCCATACTAAACATTTTTTCCACATTGTATTGTTTCACAAAATACCTTACACTAAAAATATGGACAAAGCTGGAATCCAGCTACAAGTGTACTGTAATTTTCTTCTGAAACTTTTTTTGTCTTTAATTAATTTACATTCACTCCCTAATCATCACCACAGCATACAAAATGTGGTTTACCATCCAAAATATAATGCATGTGGCTTAATCATACATGTTATCGTCAATAATTTTCCATTTCAGATCCTTTTCCCCAAAGGAAATAGGCTGGTTAAGTTTCCAGTGATTTTTTTAATAATGACAATGTTCATTAAATTAAATTAGGTTTATCTTCGAAAATTACATTTCTAATAACGCTAAAAATCTGAAGGTCAAAATTTTGGTATCCTGGGAACCAGCAGTTAGCGTAATGGCTATGTCGCTGGACTCCCACGTAGTCCACCGCGGTTCGTGTCCCGGACCCGGTGGCTTAAAACTCACGCCGGGCATGTGTGCGTGCGTTCCCAAGATCCCGAGAGGAGAATGGAGGAGAAGGGATTGCGGTGTGGCCATCTCCCCTGGGGGGTGATTTCTCACTTTCTGTCTCTATGTCTCTCCCTGTCTGTCTGGTGAGCGCACGCGCCCTATAGCGAAAACCTCTCAAAAAAATTTTGGTATCATTGCACACACATACATACACACATGCATACACCCATGTACATACGTAGATAAAAATGCATGTGCACGTGTGTGCACACATACACACATACAGAACACATACCCACGTGCACACATAAACTATATGTACATATGTGTGCATGCATGCACACACGTACGGTACACACACCCATGCTTGTGCACACATGCATTTGTATGTACATAAGAGGGCACATGCACACACATGCTTATGTGTGTATATATAGAGGTGCACATATTCACAGACAGCCGGTACTCTTGATTAGGATCTTAAAATGGACGTGAAGATGTTGAATCACTTTCATGGCAACGTAATGCCATCCTTGAAGGTTTTGGCCAGTGGTTCTCACTCAGGTATGAGTTGTTTTCTTTTTCTGGAAAGATTTCCACTATAGGGCACCTGCATTCACCAGAAAGATAGAGAAAGAGAGAGAGACAGAAAGCGAGAAATCACCCCCCAGGGGGGATGGCCACACCACAATCCCTTCTCCTCCATTCTCCTCTTGGGATCTTGGGCACGCACACACACGTGCCCGGCGCAAGTTTAAACCACTGGGTCCTGGACTCTAACTGCGGTTGACTACATGGGAGTCCAGCAATGTAGCCATTACGCCAACTGCTGGTCCCTCAGTCAAGTGTGAGTTTTGTCTTCCCAGGAATCACGTGGCCTGCAGACATGTTTGACTGCTAAAACTGGGATATAACATTTTTAACTGGACTACTGGACAGTGTATTCATGCTGGGAAAATTGATTTTGCATGCCGTCATGATCTACAGTGATTGCATGTATAAAAAAAAGAAAAAGGAAGAAAAAAATGATGGGATATTTCAAAAGAAAACAAAACGAAACAACCTGGGTGGTATGGGGTGCTAACACCAGTGGAGTGGAGGCCATGGATGCTTCAAAATAGATACAGCGCACAGGAGAGACCATTGCAAGAAAGAATCATATGGTCCAAAATATCAATTGTGCTGAAAAGAGAAAACCTAGGCTTTGGGTTATATCACTTGAGTGCAAATTAGCCAGATTGCAAAAAAAAAAAAAAAAAAAAAAAAGAAAGGGACCAGCAGTTAGCGTAATGGCTATGTCACTGGACTCCTATGTAGTTGACTGCGGTTCATGTCCTGCACCCAGGGGCTTAACACTCATGTTGGGCGCGTGTGTGTGTGCGTGCCCAAGATCCCGAGAGGAGAATGGAGGAGAAGGGATTGCGGCGTGGCCATCCTCCCTGGGGGGTGATTTCTCACTTTCTCTCTGTCTCTCCGGTGAGTGCATGCATCCTATAGCAAAAATCTCTCTTAAAATAAATAAATAAATAAAAAAGAGCTTGCTAGAGGTGCTTCCTCTCTGTCTCTCGCTCGCTTATGGAAGAAGGAAGTGAATCCCTTGTCATTGTGGTTATCTGTGTGTAATATTGGAGAATTGCATTTCCGTTCAACAGAGACTTTGTTGAGTGTTTCTTAACTGCCCCGGGCATTGTTCCAGGGGAGGGAACACTGGTGCAGCAAGAATTATGACAGGGATGTTCCCGCCTGGGGACACGCTAGACAGATACACCGACATATGCACATTTTGTGGAGGGATATGGCAACTGTATGGGAGAGACGGGGGTGCAACCGGGGGTGCAACGGGGGTGCGGCCGGGAGTGGCTGTGTTGGCTTCATTCTCCTCATCTGCTGTCTCCCACTAGGTTGCGCTGGCGTTTTCCTAAGGACCTGCTGCCCTTGGAAGGCACTGGAAGGTGGCTGGCTGCTCAGAGCATTCCACTGGCCGGAGTCTGGTGCCGGGATTACGGGCGGGCCGCCCTGTGGCCATGGGCTGCCAGGAAGACCGTCCTGCTTGTTAACACCGGCCCTGTCTATGAGTCTATGAGCAGTCAGCGTGGCTTCTCGGCCCTCCCTGTGTCCTGGGTCTCCGGCTTCCTGGGGAGCCTCCTGTCTGCTCCGGCTGGCTGCTCGGCCCGGTTCCCTCGGCCTTCTGTCACCCCGACACCTGCGGATGTGGATGTGAACCATGTCAAGGCCCAAGGGGCTGTTATGGGTCCCACTCTTCTTCACCCCGGTCTGCGCCATGTTCAATTCCAATGTCCTGCTATGGCTGGCCGCGCTGACCCTCAAGTTCATGCTCATCGACGGCCAGGCTCAGTACCCTGTCGTCAACACCAACTACGGCAAGATCCGTGGCCTAAGAACGCCATTGCCCAATGAGATTTTGGGGCCCGTGGAGCAATACTTGGGGGTACCCTATGCTTCCCCTCCTACGGGAGAGAGGCGGTTCCAGCCCCCGGAGCCCCCTTCCTCCTGGACGGGGGTTCGGAACGCCACCCAGTTCGCCGCCGTCTGCCCCCAGCACCTGGACGAGAGGTCTTTGTTGCACGACATGCTGCCCGTGTGGTTCACTGCCAACCTGGATACCCTCATGACCTACGCGCAGGACCAGAAAGAGGACTGCCTGTACCTGAACATCTACGTGCCCACGGAAGACGGTAAGTCCTTCCTGGCAGCCCCTCGCTGCCCCTGCTTGCTCCGGCCGGAGAGATGGGCCTGGAGGGTCTTAGCATATCCCGCGCATGCCGTTTCCCTAGCACGCAGGTGTTTTTGAAAATGTTACTGCCAATGCGGTGAGCCTGGTAACATCCCACGTGCTCATCCTTAATGTGGGCTAAGGTGGGACGCACAGAGGCTGTTTCCACGCAGTGCTTTTAAGGTATCGTTCTGGTGTTTACGTGCCGAGGTGTCCCCGTGGCCCGGGAATGTCTGTAAAGAGGTGTACCCACGGCACACAGGAGCGTCAAGGCTCTGCCCCTGCCCCAGCTCAGAGGCTGAAACCCAGGAAGAAGCAGGGCTTCCTTCTGCCCTCCTGACTTCAGATGTTAGTGCCATTTTTGCGGTTGTCAAGTGGTTTTTGACGCTAGAGAGGGGAAGAGTGGCCTTTAACATAGCAGGAAGGGACCGTTGGTCCGTGGCTGGATTTCACCGTTAAGGCTCCCTCGTTACCGTAAATCCGGACCTGATTTTCTCTAAAGATTGATCACAATCGAATGTGTGTAGTCATTCGTCCCCCAGTCTTCGCCACAGCAGTAGCCTCCGTGACTCCAGAATCGTAGGGCGCGGTTGTGTGGACGGAGCCTGCACATGGCGTGACCATTTTGTTGTGATTTGGGCGACCTTCGAGAATCACAAGCTTGCTTTTTTTTAAAGAAAATGGCCCTTTTCTATATGAGAGTGAACAATCGGAAAGGCCATGGCGTGCCACACCTGAATTCAACCTGATGCTAGTGGAGTTTGGACAGCGCCACGTCTGGGTGGGTTTCGATTTCTGATCTTCTATGAAGGCTGAGCAGAGTAAAGTGATGCCACTGTGGGATCCCGTTTCTCAGCCCGCGTTTCTGGATCTTACTGTTGGGGAAAGAGAAGGGGAAATGGAGATTGACATCTTCCTGAAACTAGGACAGTCAGTCTATGGGAAGCCAAGGCACACCCAGTGTAGTCACACCCAGTGTAGACACACCCAGTGTAAAAACTTTGCCTTTATTATGGAGAACGTTTTCCTCCCCCTCTCTCATCTTTCCTTTTTAAACTTGAATCCCTGGGGATTATCTTCCAGTAAGATTTGGCTCAGAGTCTGAAATGAACAAGGACATTAATGCGGTGATTCCCCAAACTTGATAGCATCCGCCATGCTGTTCTTTTCCCATGTAAATGCCAACACTTTAGGCCATGTGGCGTGTCAAGAACCCCCAAAGAAATGTGTGTCTTTGAGGTCAGAAAGAACAACCCCCGGAAAGCAGCGCAAGGACTAGGCTTCATTGTATTCCTAGTTTGTGACCTGTAGTCTTTGTCCTGACGGTGACAACACACAATTACCTTGTAATGTGTAGGGCTCAATGTCAATCAAGGAGCTGCGTGGACCTTTGCAGGCTGCAGAGCCATGTGTAAAAAACGCATGCCAGGCTCTGCGTGGCTGCTGTGTGTTAGGGTGAATGGGTAGACACGGAACCCCAAACCCATGAGAGTTCTTTCAGCCGACGCCTGGGGACTGGCCCTTCTCTGATGAGCTAGTCAAATAAAAAGTAGCGAAGGCAGAAAGTGGGAGGAGAAGCCCAAGCGGGACAGAGGATCAAAATTGCTTCCCTAACACTTGGGACGTGCTCGTGCTTACGAGCCAGGGAACGCATAGGGCTAAGCTTGGGAACTGTACATGGGCTTCTAATGCAGCGTCTCTGGACACGGGGTGTGGGGCCGAACTAGACCACCGATGGAGAAAAATCAGTGGCCCCTTGGTTATGTGCAATCGTGCAGATTGGGAGCACAAACGCTTTGACCATTGTGTTGGGATTCACTATGGAATTGGAATTTGGGGCTACCCAAATGCCAGGACTGCTACCCAATGACAAAGCAGTCTAAACTCCATAATCCACTCAGTTCCACTCGTCCAGTTCCTTCGGCTTTTCAGAACAGTGCGCACATGTGGTCTTGACCAACGAAGCTGAATTTAGTGGGCGCTGACGAGTTAGAACCCATCTCCCCACGATAGGTGGATCTTGGAATTGTGCCGAGGACACCCCCACACTGCATGTTGGCATAGACAAGTTGCAGCCTCTCGGGTCAGAAGTTCAGTGGCCCCTTTTGTTTTTGTTTTGTTATTTAAGTGTAGTTTTTTTTATATTGTCATCATAATCTTCTTTATATTACATTGGATTGCATATAACTTTACAGTGTATTACATTGCTTTTTCAAAAGGGAATGCCATGCATGTCAGTCAGTACAGAGACATTCATCTCCCCGCTTCATCATTCAATATCTTTTCATGGTTTTTCCCAATCTTTATTATTATTATTCCAGTTATTTTTTAAAACAGTCAATTGCTTTTTCTCATTTTGCTTGTAAAAAGACTTTGCCCATCATGAACTACTTCTCAGACCCATCCAGTTGAGAATACTATACATGTCATCATCAACAGGTAATTGGGTTTGTTTTCATAATGACATCAACTTGGGAACCAGCAGTTAGCGTAATGGCTATGTCGCTGGACTCCCACGTAGTTGACCGCGGTTCGCGTCCCGGACCCGGTGGCTTAAAACTCACGCCGGGCGCGTGTGCGTGCGTGCCCAAGATCCTGAGAGGAGAATGGAAGAGCAGGGATTGCGGCGCGACCATGCCCCCTGGGGGGTGATTTCTCGCTTTCTGTCTCTATGTCTCTCTCTGTCTGTCTGGCGAGCGCACGCGCCCTACAGTGAAAATCTAAATAGTGATAATCTAAATAATGACATCAACTTGAAAGTCGGTGTGGAGGTTTAGGTACTTAATTCCTGGTTCTATGTTAAAAGCATACACTCCGGTTCCGTGACAACACATTGAAATTTTGCTCTCGGTTTGAGCCCCTAAAGAGCTCTGTTTCGGCAGTGTCCAATGCCTATCAGTGCATTGATTTAACTGCACCTAATACTCAATAAGCGATACTGGGTATTAAGAGGTGAGACATTCCACTTTAATACTCCATATCCGTGTAGATCTGTCTTTCTGCCCCGATCGCATTGGCTCGAATGTCTCCATTTCTCCTTGCATATGATGTGGAAATGTATTAAAATGCAAAAATAGACGTTATTCCACAAACGTGCTTATTCTAAAATTGGAAAATACCTTGCATGAGGAAAGCTGTTAGAAATGTCTTGTAGTATAATACTATAAAATGATTTTTTTGTTTGTTTGCTCTGGGGTGTGTGTGCTTGCCAGAAAGAGACGGAGAGGGAGAGGGAGAGGGGAAGAGGGAGAGGGAGAAAGAGAGGGAGAGGAAGAGGGAGAGAGGGGAAGAGAGAGAGAGAGAGAGAGAGAGGGAGAGAGAGAACGTGAAAGCACCCTACAACAGGGATGAGTGAGAATGCCACAATCCCTTCTCTTTCTCTTTCTTCTTGGGATTTTGGGCACTCACATACGTGCTCAGTGTGTTTTTTCTTTTGGAGAAGGTTTTTTTGCCCTAGGGCTCATGCGCTCGCCAGACAGACAGAGACAGACAGAGAGACAGAAAGCGAGAAATCACCCCCAGGGGGGATGGCCACACCGCAATCCATTCTCCTCTATTCTCCTCTCAGGATCTTGGGCACGCACGCACACACGCCCGGCATGAGTTTTAAGCCACCGGGTCCGGGACGCGAACCGCGATCGACTACATGAGAGTCCAGCAACATAGTCATTACGCTAACTGCTGGTCCCCTCAGTGTGTTTTTCAAACCACTCTGGGACTTGAACCACACAGTTAGCCATATAGAATCTAGCGACCTTGACCCCCATGCCAGCTGGCTGCTCCGGCAGGTATTTATTTTGTATAGGAATCCTAATAGTTTTATCATTCCCATGAGAATAAATCCGTTCTTGCTGAAGGTGAGTCCGTTAGTATACATCATGACCCTGTAAAGTACACTTTGTTTCTCGATGGCTGCCCTCTTCCTACGGATTTGATTTACTTATTGACATTTTCATAGAGGATTCACTTCTTTTGGGTGTCGAGACGATAGTCATTCATTCACTAGAATCGCATACCTAACTTTCGATAGCTTCTCAAACAAGGTCAGAAGCAGTCGGTCCATCATGGGCTGTAGAACTCATGGGGTATTGTTGCCCGGTGTGCATGGTGTATATGTCGTGTGTGTGTCTGTATGTGTGTGTGAGAGAGAGAGGGAGTTCATTTCTTTTGGGTGTCGAGACGATAGTCATTCATTCACTAGAATTGCATACCTTACCTTTCGATAGCTACTCAAACAAGGTCAGAAGCAGTCGGTCCATCATGGCTGTAGAACTCATGGGGTGTTGTTGCCCGGTGTGCATGGTGTATATGTCATGTGTGTGTCTGTATGTGCGTGTGTATGTGAGAGAGACAGAGAGAGAGGGAGGGGGGAGAGGGAGAGAGAATGCACTTGGGAGGTGAGTGCAGAATGTGACTGGGTAGGTTGATTCAACAGAAATTGGGAACGTCATCCTGAGAAGTCTGAAAAAGACATAGAAAATAATAATGGACATTAATTCATAAATGAGAAGATGGTACCAGAATTCAGGATCCTTCTTGGTCAAGGGGTAGGTTGGACACAGAAGGACAAGCTATGGAAACACTTCCCCCTTTTTTTTTTGGAGAGATTTTTGCTATAGGGTCCATGCACTCGCCAGACAGACAGAGAGACAGAGAGACAGAAAGCGAGAAATCCCCCGCCAGGGGGAATGGCCATGCCACAATCCCTTCTCCTCCATTCTCCTCTCGGGATCTTGGGCACACACGCACACACGCCTGGCATGAGTTTAAGCCACCGGGTCCGGGACTCAAACCACAGTCGGCTTCATGGGAGTCTAGCGACACAGCCATTATGCCAACTACTGGTCCCTCACTTCCACTTTTTCATGAAAACCTCTTCTATTTATAGAAGTGCTTACTTTTAAGGGAAACTATGAGACCTTTTTGCTTGTTTTTGCCACAAGGTGCAGAGAGAGACAGAGA